TGATTATATGACAGTGTTCTCCAGATTATATGGCCGTATTCTCCAGATTTTATGACCGTATTCTCCTCATTATATGACAGCATTCTCCAGATTATATGACCGTATTCTGCAGATTATATGACCGTATTCTCCAGATTATATGACCGTATTCTCCAGATTATATGACCGTATTCTCCAGGTTATATGACCGTATTCTCCTGATTATATGACAGTGTTCTCCAGATTATATGACCGTATTCTCCAGATTATATGACCGTATTATCCTGATTATATGACAGTGTTCTCCAGATTATATGACCGTATTCTACAGATTTTATGACCGTATTCTCCTGATTATATGACAGCATTCTCCAGATTATATGACCGTATTCTGCAGATTATATGACCGTAATCTCCAGATTATATGACCGTATTCTCCAGATTATATGACCGTATTCTCCAGATTATATGACCGTATTCTCCTGATTATATGACAGTGTTCTCCAGATTATATGACCGTATTCTCAGATTATTTGACCGTATTCTCCTGATTATATGACAGTGTTCTCCAGATTATATGACCGTATTCTCCAGATTTTATGACCGTATTCTCCTGATTATATGACAGCATTCTCCAGATTATATGACCGTATTCTGCAGATTATATGACCGTATTCTCCAGATTATATGACCGTATTCTCCAGATTATATGACCGTATTCTCCTAATTATATGACCGTATTCTCCTGATTATATAACCGTATTCTCCAGATTATATGACCGTATTCTCCAGATTATATGACGGTATTCTCCAGATTATATGACCGTATTCTCCAAATTATATGACCTATTCTCCTGATTATATGACAGTATTCTCCACATTATATGACCGTATTCTCCTGATTATATGACCGTATTCTCCAGATGATATGACCGTATTTTCCAGATTATATGACAGTATTCTCTATATTATATGACCCTATTCACCAGATTATATGAACGTATTCTCCAGATTATATGACAGTATTCTCCAGATTATATTACCGTATTCTCCTGATTATATTACCGTATTCTGATTATATAACAGTATTGTCCAGCTAATATGACCGTTTTCTCCTGATTATATGACCGTATTCTCCTGATTATATGACAGTATTCTCCAGATTATATGACCGTATTCTCCTGATTATATGACCATATTCTCCAGATTATATGACCGTATTCTCCAGATTATATGACAGTATTCTCTAGATTATATGACCGTATTCTCCTGATTATATGACCGTATTCTCCAGATTATATGACCGTATTCTCCAGATTATAATGTGTCATGCACCTCAATAAAGTAGATGTCCTGTCAGTGTGGGCGTGTATGTGTGCCTGGGTATTGTGTCATCAATCATCTGGTACAGATACAATGATCGATGCCCGGGTGCGGTCAATGGGTCGCTTCTTATTGGTCAACCATGTTCTGTATGCTCTGATCTGGTTATTGATTCTCACTGCCTGGGTATGTTATATCATCAATAACTCCCCTCCCTCCACTCCCCAGGAGTGATTGGGCAGTTGTGTGTGCTTATGCCGAGCTGCGGATTGGCAGCAGAGGTCTCGTTCCGAATCAGTCGAGCGGTATTTTCTCTTCATCGGCTGTGTAATGCTGTGTGAGAGCTAACTGGTCCGTCACTCCACATGAGGCTCTGGGGTCTTGTCGGCCACAGTCATACCCCCCCTCCTCTCTTTTCCCTGTGCTAAAGCAACCTGGACACCTTCACAGAAGCACCTGCGCTGGCTTAAAACATTCAGGCTGGCCTGCCTATCATTCATCCGTGGTTTAACCAGATCCATCCTCGTGTTATGGTCTAGTATAGACAGTATTGGCAGAGTTGTGTGTGTGGCTGTTAATAGGTGTGTAACTGTGGGGAGCGGTGGCACAGTGGTTAGCGCGCTGTACTATAAAACCCGGCGACTCGAATTCGATTCCTGCTCATGACCAACATTTATTGATGATTGACTTAAAGCTTTCGTGACTGCAGTAATTCATACGTGATTTGAAGCTATCGTGACTGCAGGAATTACTCTTTGGTTCTTTCGGTAAAGTTACGTAGAAAGAAAATAAATTAAATAGAATACACAAGCAGTCGTCATCAGGTAGAACTAAATTTGAGAGAGAGACAAAACACAGACACTGAGACACACAGACAGACACACAAGCAGAGGGAGAGAGACACACACAACATTGACACACAGAGACCCAATGGCTCTGTGTCGTGGCCTTAAAAACACATAGAGAGAGGTGGGTCTGCTGGAGCAGATAAATTAGCATGGCAATGAGAGAGCTGCGTGGAAATCCACCCCGCGGCGGCAAGGGGAGAGAAAGACCCAGAAAGCCTGCTACTTTTTTTTCGAAGAATTCACACTCTTTGGGTCTTTCGGTAAAGTCACGTAGATAGAAAGAGAAAAAAATAGATTTTTAAATTTATTTTTCTAAAGTCACGTAGATATAAAAATAAGAAAAAATAAAAAAGTTTATTATTTTTATTATTATTTTTTCTATCTACGTGACTTTACCGAAAATCCCAAAGAGTATTTATTGATGAATATCTGAACCGGCCCTGGGTCACCCCTAGGTCGACTCAGCCTTAAATTACTGGACATCTGTGAAAAATAGTTTCATTGCTCATCCTATTTTTCGTACAATTACATATTCTGATTCTGATCAACTTAGTACCAGCAGGAAATAGTGAGACAGACGATGTTTAGGGCAAATGTTCTGCTCTGCCGAATTGCACTCCCGCCTCGCCCAAGTGATGAGCGTTCTCCTTGCAAGAGCCGCCGCCGTGTCCAGCTCATGACTGGGAGCTCCCTGACCTCTCACTCCTGCTCCCGTCCTCACCAGCTATTCGCCAAAAGGCATTGAGAATGCGCTGGGAGATGTTATTTCCACAGTAGATTCCTTTTTCACAATTTAACTTATTGTGGAGAAGTCGTTGCACGCCAGCCTACCGCGCGGTTCTTGACAGAATGGGGCCTTCGTCCAATGGAGATCGGCACATCTGATAGCAGGGTTGGCTAAATACGGTACGAACGAGGTTCAGCATACATACAGTTGTTTGGAGATATCATGGCGCTGCAGCCCTCAATCATCTTTGCAGCTGCTGTTGGCATTCTGACGTCTTCTTCTGACGTCTTCTTCCGCCCGCATTGCTGTGGGCTGGGCACGCTCATTGCGATGGCGGCCCACGCTTGGCATGGCACAGCAACGGGCGAGGGTGTTTGTGACTTTTCAAGAGGAACAGTGCTGCCATCGCTACCACATCATGGTGCTTCTGCTGCTGGCTCCGTGACTGCTTTGTTAATTATCAGACTGACACTGCTCGATTCGCAGCTACACGTTCACTGACGGGCCAATTCTCTGTTCGCCACCTGTGGACCTGCCGGGCAGCAGTGGAGCTGTGCCCCCAGTGAAGGGCGCTCATGGGCAGTGGGAGGCAGTCGCCCTCCAACAACGGAGGGCGGAGGAGCGACTCTCACAACAACGAGCAGAGCACCGGGTGGCTAAAGCACAGCAAGTTGGCACAGTAGGGGGAACAGGTGGTGCATCAGCTAGTCATCTCAGTCAGTCAACCCATGGCACCTGGGTCTGTCCCGAGACCTCCTGACAGCGAGCCTTTGACACTTCACGTGGCCTCAAAGTGCACCTGGCCTGGCAGTGGCGAATGGCGGGTATTGGTCTCTATGTGTGTATCTCTCTTTGCATATCTCTTTGTACGTGTATGTCTCTATATGTGTATCTCTCTTTGCATATCTCTTTGTACGTGTATGTCTCTATGTGTGTATCTCTCTTTGCATATCTCTATGTATGTATGTGTGTGTCTCTATGTGTGTATCTCTCTTTGCATATCTCTATGTATGTATGTGTGTGTCTCTATGTTTGTATCTCTCTTTGCATATCTCTATGTATGTATGTGTGTGTCTCTATGTGTGTATCTCTCTTTGCATATCTCTATGTATGTATGTGTGTGTCTCTATGTGTATATATGTTTGTGTGTGTGCAATCCTAGCCGCGTGTTGTTTTCTTCTCTTATCGCTGCGCACACGCGTGGGAGCCCGCGCCCCGCGGTCTCCGCTTCTGCACCGCGACCTCTTCACTTCCCCTAGCTCACTCAACGATCCGGAATCCAGAATGTAACACTTCAGGATCCGGGTTTTATGCTTTGTCGCTCCAGGAACTTGGAAAACATGAACCTGGATCTCTGGCTCCTGGCTCCAGCATCTGTGGACCCAGACTCCGGGATTGAGGAATCACGTATCCATAAATCGTGGCTTAAGGAACCAGATATCCAAGATCTAGGAATCTATTACTCCAGCATAATAGGTTCCATTGATGCCGGAACCGGGTCCAACATCTACAACCACAAAAAGCAGCCAAATATCAACTAACACCACCATCATCAAAACAACTACAACAATCCAACAACTACCACCACAGCTCCAACTACAATACTACAACCAAAACTACCTCATCAGCAATCACCACCATCACAGAAAACGGAAAAGCAACAGCAACAACCATCACAACAACCAAATCAACAACCATCACAACAACCATCACAACAACCAAAACAACCACCAATAACTGCCACCACAATAAGACAACGTGCCAAAACAACTACCACCACAACAAGAACAACAACCGCATCATCACCACACCACCCCAGCAACAACCACCACCGCCACCACCACAGCAATAACAAAAATGACAGTAGCAGCAGCAGCAGCAGCAGGCGCCACGATGACCGCAGCGGGAGGGAAGAGCGGCCCCGAGACGGGAGCCCCGGGTCCCCTCGCTCCACATTTCCTGCAAACTCCCCCCCACCCCACGCTCTCCCTCCTCCCTCCCCGAGCCCCCACTGTTGCTGCTTGTTGTTGTTGATTCACTGGGGGTGATCGCTGTTCCTCGGTCCGCGCGCAACAGGGGAGAGAGAGGGGCGCCGAGAGGAGAGAGGGTGAGTGGTGGGGTGAGTGAATAAGCGGCAGAGTGAGTGGTGTAATTAGTGATTGAGTGAAGAGGGTGAACGAGTGAATGATGGGAAAAGTGAGTGGTGGGTGAGTGAGTTTTGAAATTAGTGGTGGTATAGGTGAATGGTAGAAGGAGTTGTGAGGTGAGCGGTGGGTAAAGTGAGCGTGAGCGAAAGGGTGAGTAAACTCACCTCACCGCTTATGGGTGTGTAGTGGTGGGGGAAAGGGTGAGTGAGTAAACTGGTGAGCGAGCTATTGAGTATGGTGGTGAGCTGATTGTGATGAGTGGTGGTGAGCTGATTGTGATGAGTGGTGGTGCTGGAGAGAGTGATTGAGCGAGTGCTTGACTGAACTGTCTGCAGTTCTATTGGCCGCTAAGGGGGGGGGGGCTTCCCCTCCCCCGCGTGGTCTCGCCCGGCAGATGAAATTGGCTTTTGCTGGGAACTGGATTCCAACTCGCAACGTCGACATGAGCGGCTCCCGAGGCCAGCAGCCCCCTGCCCACACACAGGTGCGCTAATGTGTGTCTGTCGACGTTTCTGTGTCCTGCCCACACACAGGTGCGCTAATGTGTGTCTGTCGACGTGTCTGTCTGTGTCCTGCCCACACACAGGTGCGCTAATGTGTGTCTGTCGACGTGTCTGTGTCCTGCCCACACACAGGTGCGCTAATGTGTGTCTGTCGACGTGTCTGTGTCCTGCCCACACACAGGTGCGCTAATGTGTGTCTGTCGACGTGTCTGTCTGTGTCCTGCCCACACACAGGTGCGCTAATGTGTGTCTGTCGACGTGTCTGTCTGTGTCCTGCCCACACACAGGTGCGCTAATGTGTGTCTGTCGACGTGTCTGTCTGTGTCCTGCCCACACACAGGTGCGCTAATGTGTGTCTATCTGTGTCCTGCCCACACACAGGTGCGCTAATGTGTGTCTGTCGACGTGTCTGTCTGTGTCCTGCCCACACACAGGTGCGCTAATGTGTGTCTGTCGACGTGTCTGTCTGTGTGTGTCCCGCTATGTTGTGGGGAGCGGTGGTGTCGCGGTTCTCTTGAGTTCAATTCCCGCTCACGGCCAACACCAGTGACGATTATCTGAACCGGTCCTGGGCTTCCCCGAGGTCGACTCAGCCTCAAATGAATACCTGGTGCGGTGTGGAAACATCGTCACTAGAGAGACAAAGGCAGCTGTGCGTGATTCTGGCCACCCACCCCCTCCTGTGCCGTACCGGCTTTCATAGGTGCTTGCTAACAGCACTTGCTCGTACAGTCTGTTAAGGCTATACGGGGGTATTTGTCTTTGTGTGCGTGTTGATTCGAATCGTCAGACAGACTGCGATGTGACTCCGCGAGGAGCCTTGGTGGCATTCCTCGCGGCCTGATCTGTCCCGTGAACTCGTGCCAGCCTTTCTGACCTCACGTGACGGCCTCTCAGTGCACCTAGCTTGGCACAGGCGCTGTGTGTGCGAGCCGCAGATAAGAACCGAGACCCAAACTCAGACGCGTTGCGTTTTGCTCAGAGGAAGTTGGAGCGCGTAACGAGATCAGCGAAGAGATTGGGATTCATGAGTCATGGTGGGAGGAGGAGGAGGGATGGGCGGGCCCAACACACAATGCCATCCCGACTCAGCCCATGGAACACACGAGTGACCACGAGTGACATACACCATCACCACCACCAACCACCACACAGAGAGGGGTTCACTGGGACGGGGGACAGAGCGACACGGGCCTCCCCCTCCCTCTCATTCTTCTCCCCTCATCACTCAACTCTCCCCTCGACCGCCACTCCTCACATCACCACCTCACCCGATTCAAGAGCCGAATGGCTCACAGGGCTATACGAAAATAAATCACTGAAAACTGAAACTGGTCAATACAGTGGGTGCAGTAATTGTGGAACGCCGCTCGCCGGCGTCACGGTCCAAATCGGAGCAGATCGCCTGGGTAGAGAACGAGCCACAGAAGATCGACAGAACGACTTCTGAGGTCACTTTAACAGAGTCGTCCTGTCTTCCACTCCCCTCCTCCTCCCACTCCTGCGGTGTTTGTGATTGAGAGCGGCGACCAGAGCGTGCGGTCTGGAGCGCTGGGTGGCGTGGTGGCTATTGGGACTCGTGAATAAATGAACAAGCCGGGGGCCTCTCCTCGACACACTCGTGGAGGGGACTTCATGGGCCCTGGGCACAGTGGTCCCCACGTGACCCTCAAATCGTGAATGTGTCCCAGTCTTTGAGCTGGAACTTAACCAAACTGAGTGATAAACTAAATTATACGTGAGGGAGTTTTCACATCGAGCGTCTAAAGGAACTCTGCTCTGTCCTCTCTCCGTCCGTTCTTCTCATCGCCCTCCTCTCCAATTCCCTTCATGTCCCCCCTGTCTGATTCCCGCAGGACACCCCTGACCTCAAGGTGACCTCTCCCCTGCGCACTCGACCCAAACCTCCCTCCAGCTTCATCGGGAAGCTCCAGGTGAGTGGCGCCACGTGCCGCTCAGGTTTATCGCTAGCTTCGGTCGACGTTCCCAACTCCATAATCAGTCGTTTTCTGCTCCCATTTTGAAATAAATTAAGCCACGCTCCGACGCTGACACCTCAGCTAGACCGAGCTTCGAGGGAGCTCGTCTGTTCCGCGTTAACCCCGCGACCTCGAGCAAACTGAGGCGACTACGTGAAGTGCCCACTGCAGAGAGGGCCACGCGGCCCAGGATCCCAGCGTTCTGAGACCCACCACCCCGCCCAGCTCGCTTGGACCGCTTGGCCGGTTCATAATTTGTCGTTATTTCCCCAATTTCATCCCACGGGACGATTTATCCAGTCGGGAATCTCGCGGAGAAGAAAAAAACTCTCTGTGTTAGAGAACGGCTCATGGAAGCAGATATTGCAGAGCTACCTCTGAGACCTCTAGCCCACACCCAGTCGAGCGCAGCACTCTAGCTTCTGCTCTGCCCATGAGAGTAGGGTTCGTTACGTGATGGTGTGACTGATATTTTCAATCTCAGATCTAGAATTTTGCCAAATTAAGTGCAGAACTAAATTTAAAGTTTCGTTCATGCAGTCTTTGGTGACCGGGCTGAGAACGTAATTTCACTACGCTGGAGAACCGGGTTTAATAAAGTTCAGTCTGTGTGAGTCTATGGATCTCATTGTTAATCTATGGCTCTCTGTGTTAGTCTATCAGTCTCTGTGCGAGTCTATGGGTCTCTGTTTGAGTCTATGGGTGCGAGTCTAGGGTCTCTGTTTGAGTCTATGGGACTCTATGCGAGTCTTTGGGTCTCTGTGTGAGTCTATGGGTGTCTGTGTGAGTTTATGGGTCTCCGTTTGAGTCAATCGAACTCTGCGTGAGTCTATGAGACCCCTGTGTAATGTCGGTAGTTGGGGCTGGAATCTCGGATCCCAGCGATGCCGACTCCACAGCCTGACCTCTGAGCCACTCGGACACCTACACGCCGGCTCAGCTGTAAGTGGTCATGGGGATGTGGCATCAGTCATGTGGCCCTAACCCTAACACTCTGCCCCCCCCCCCCCCAGGCAAGCCTGGTGCTCCCCCCCTCGGCGCTCTCCCCACCCTCCTGCAACTCCGCGGTGAAGCGGTGGTCGGCCCCCGCGGGCTCCACCACTCAACTCTCCCCACTCGCCCCCCTCTCCCCCTCCGCGTCCCTCTCCCCCTGCTCCCCCGTGCGCCGTTTCCACCTGGGGACACGGCCCCTCTCCCCTCAGCCGGGTCCCGAGCCCCCAGCGGGGCCCGAGGTCCCAACAGGCACAGAGAGTCTCGGGTCCGAGACGGCAGGTCGAGAGACACTGCCCAGTCTCAACAAGGTAGGTGACGGCCTGCGCCTCTCCCTTGTGTCCTCTCTAGCTTCCTCTCTCCCTGGGTGGGTGGTGGGAAGTGGTGGTTTGGTGGTGATGGGTGGGTGCTGAGTAAGTGGTTTGGGTGGTCGCTGGGTGGGTGGTGGTGAACCCAGCCGTGCAAGGGTGGGTGGTTACACTAAATTAAAATTAATGCACTTGCTGTACTGCCATGCCCCGGCAGACCAGGAGATGACGATCACGACACACGTCCAATATAAGAGTGGCAGTGCCGCCCGGTCATGTTCACACGCCATTTTCATCGAAGCTGCTCGCGGCTTCACACTCACAATGCATATTACTCCCTGCACATTATTCACAACATAGTTGTTGTCCTCTGGAAAGACTCGACCCCCGCCATATGAACGTGGGATTTCCACCGCTGGCCCAGAGGTGTACACCGAAGCACCAGTGCCCGATGCTCGTTGTTGAGACATTGGCGCTGCTCAGGAACTTGCTCCAAGCCAAACCTGGTGTTGGGGAAATTTACTCTAAAACTCCAAACGTCATCGGGAGCAACTTGCGAATCCCACTGTTCACTGCTCCCCACATCGTCACTGGGACCCAGGGTTCACCCTGCACCCAGGCGCAGGGTTAATAGTCCTCACCTACCTACCTCCCTCCCTCCCTCACCTCCCTCCCTCACTTCCCTCCCTCTCTTCCTCCCAGGGTCGCCCACGCCATTCAGGTAAGCGGCGTCTCCCCAGCCGCTCCTCACTGAAGGCGGCGGCGACGCCGGTGGCAGTGGAACTAGCGATGAGAAGCAATGGGGGCGAGAGCCGGGGTCAGGAGGACGATGTAGAGAAGAAGGAGAAGCATGAGGAGAAAGCGGATGACAAGGAGAACAAGGAGGGGGAGCAGAGTAGCCCTGATCCTCACGAGGGTGCGGAGCAGACAAGCGAAGAAACTGCAACTGGGGTTGAGTGCGACGGCGGTGCAGGAGGTGAAGGAGGTGGGGGTGAGGAAGAAAAAGTGGGAGAGGAAGCAGGAGACACAGGAAAAATGAGGCCTGGGGTGGCAACCTCTGTGAATGAAGATGTGGAAGAGGAGGAGGAAGACGAGGTGTTTGTGTTGGAAGAGTGAGATTCAGGTTCCTTGCTTTCGTGAACACTTTGTCAGTCCATGGGTGTCAATGCAACTCTGTGTCTCATTGTGAATTTGTGGGACTCCACATAAGCGTATGGGTCTCCATGTCGGTCTCTATCTCAGTCTATGGGTTTTTATATGTCTATAGGTCTATATATAAGGCATTGGTAACTCGGCTGAGACCATCAACTCACTGCACTTGCGAACTCGGTTTAATCACAGGCAGCGCCTGCTCCCCGCATTGCACCGCAGGATCTCCTTTGAGACACCCGGTCAGCCCTTGTCTGCCTCGTTTGTTCGTCCGTCTCGTTTGCAGTGTCTGCATAATCTGTGTCGTGTGCCTTCATTCGGGTTGTACATTGTTGTGATTTGCATCGTAGGCCATCGGTTCCCGTGCTCGCGATCCGACCGTGCCAGACGCGATGTCCGTGATGATCAGCTCTGACCCGCTAATAAAATTGCCTCCCATCCTTTCCTCAGAAGCGCCCGCCTCCTTCCCTCTCGGCTCCCCGTGTTTACCAAGCAACGCAATACTTGCTCTGACTCCGTAATAATAATAATGAATAATAACTTACTTTTATATCCAGGATATTATTTCTTATCTATCCAGGAGAGCCACACGGAGTCCAAGGACTGATTTCAGCAGGGGTCTGCTGCTGCTGTATTGGTCTTTTTATTTCAAGATGTTTTCAGCAAATGATGGGTTGTGTTTATTAACAGACGGGCGATTAGTTCATTTGCTGTAATGCCTTATCGTGGCAGATTCATGTCATGGCTCCCTCTCGACGCTCACGGGAAGGGAGTTTCACGACATCTGTGCGATTCACGAACTATCGCCTCCAGTGCTATGGGGGGGAGGTGGGGGAAGGGGTGGGAGAGGTGGCGGGAGGTGGGGGAAGGGGTGGGAGAGGTGGGGGAAGGGGTGGGAGAGGTGGGGGAAGGGGTGGGAGAGGTGGGGGAAGGGGTGGGAGAGGTGGGGGGAGGGGTGGGAGAGGTGGAGGAAGGGGTGGGAGAGGTGGAGGGAGAGGTGAGGGGAGGGGTGGGAGAGGTGGGGGAAGGGGTGGGAGAGGTGGGGGGAGGGGTGGGAGAGGTGGGGGAAGGGGTGGGAGAGGTGGAGGAAGGGGTGGGAGAGGTGGGGGAAGGGGTGGGGGGAGGGGTGGGAGAGGTGGAGGAAGGGGTGGGAGAGGTGGGGGAAGGGGTGGGAGAGGTGGGGGAAGAGGTGGGGGGAGGGGTGGGAGAGGTGGAGGAAGGGGTGGGAGTTGTGGGGGCAGGCGTGGGAGAGGTGGGGGAAGGGGTGGGAGAGGTGGGGGGAGGGGTGGGAGAGGTGGAGGAAGGGGTGGAGGGAGAGGTGAGGGGAGGGGTGGGAGAGGTGGAGGAAGGGGTGGGAGAGGTGGAGGAAGGGGTGGGAGAGGTGGGGGGAGGGGTGGGAGAGGTGGGGGAAGGGGTGGGAGAGGTGGAGGAAGGGGTGGGAGAGGTGGGGGAAGGGGTGGGGGGAGGGGTGGGAGAGGTGGAGGAAGGGGTGGGAGAGGTGGGGGAAGGGGTGGGAGAGGTGGGGGAAGAGGTGGGGGGAGGGGTGGGAGAGGTGGAGGAAGGGGTGGGAGTTGTGGGGGCAGGCGTGGGAGAGGTGGAGGAAGGGGTGGGAGAGGTGGGGGGAGGGGTGGGAGTTGTGGGGGCAGGCGTGGGAGAGGTGGGGGGAGGGGTGGGAGAGGTGGGGGGAGGGGTGGGAGAGGTGGGGGGAGGGAGGGGTGGGAGAGGTGGGGGGAGGGAGGGTGGGAGAGGTGGAGGAAGGGGTGGGAGAGGTGGGGGGAGGGAGGGGTGGGAGAGGTGGAGGAAGGGGTGGGAGAGGTGGGGGGAGGGGTGGGAGAGGTGGGGGGAGGGAGGGGTGGGAGAGGTGGAGGAAGGGCTGGGAGAGGTGGGGAGAGGGGTGGGAGGGGTGGGGGAAGGGGTGGGAGGGGTGGGAGGGCTGGGGGAAGGGGTGGGAGAGGTGGGGGGATCTGTGGGGGGATCTGTGGGGGGAGGGGTGGGAGAATAGATGAGCGTTATTGAAGCTGTCGTTATGGAAGAGATGAGAAAAGGAAGATGACCAGCACAATAAGAGGAAGCGGAGCAATGTGAGGAGTGAGAGGAGGGTGGAGGAATGGGGGAGGGGGAGGCTGGGGCCACTGAAAGAGCAGGAGGAGCAGGGAGAGCATAAAGCGAAGAGGTGGGGGAGCGTTGGGGGAGGGAGGGGGGAGGGAGAGAGAGCCGCGGACCCGAGGCTGTGCAAACTGAAAGCGGCGTCCATTATTGCTCCGACCGAGAATGCTGCACACGGACTACAGCGCGCAGGCTGTCACGCAGAGTGGCACAGTCAGGCTGTAGCGCGTAGCTTGTCACGCAGAGTGGCACAGTCAGGCTGTAGCGCGTAGTTTGTCACGCAGAGTGGCACAGTCAGGCTGTAGACAGACTCCTGCCCAGGAGGAGCCTCTCTACTCGGCCATGAATCCGCTGCTTCTGTTGCTGCTGCTACTGCCCAGTCTCTGCTCGATTCTCGTGTGCGCGACTGGTGAGTCTGTCTACGAATCCATCTTGCCCCCTCCTACACCCCGTTCTTTCCTCCATCTTTCTATTCCCTCCTCCTAATCCACCGTTTCCACAGATTCCACCGATCTCTCCTATCGGATATACTTGAGCAGCACTTAACACCAGATGATGATGCCCCTGATGACAATCGTTCGTGATGAGGGTCAAATTGATTTCCTGTTCAAACGAGCATTGAGCAGTTGCTCATCTGTTTGCAGCCCTGCAGTGCTAGTGGCGGACATTCCGTATTCTTATGACAGGGATAGAGGCTGGGAGATGGGCGTGATCGACTCATTCACCCACAACCAAAATTTGAACTCGCAACCTGATTGGAAGTCGCTCACCCAAACCGTTGAGCCACATGCCCGGGTGTGGTATCTTGCCACGATGATGATGTTGAGAGTGATGATGGGATCTTGTTGTAAAGATGAGCTAATTTCACTTCGATTGTATCGCATTGAAGAAGAGGTTACCCAATTGAATTTCCAGATAAACCCGTTATCTGATAACCTCACTGACGACCAGAGAGCCTCGCGCTGTATCAAAGTAAATACTCAACGATACCCCTTCCTGCATCTCCGCATAATCTGACACGCGGACATCTGCGCGTGAATGTTTAAACAGCACTAGTTTAATACAGTACAAGTAAGCTGTGGACCGTAACATGCAATGTCTCGTCCGCAGAGTTAGGCTTGCTTAAACCAGATAACCCTATTTCTTATCAGATTTATCATATTGATAATGCAATGACCCTATTGATTGCGTTTTTTCAATTAACCCCATGGGTTATCAGGTACACATAGGGGGATGCATTCCTCGTGGAATATTTCATGGTTGCCGGTAGACTGGATGAGGCATGTGACGAGTAACCACAGCTACAGTTGGAGCTCAGCTCGATGTTGATTTGCCGAGCATGGAAATATTCTTGGATGGGTCGCTGACCCGGGTAAGAATGTCAATCCGACCCCAGGAACAGGCCTACAGATTTGTTTTACATTTCTGTGAGGTCTTGGGGGGTGGGAAAACCTTTGGTCCAGACCACATCATGGGGCAAGTAGGTGTTGACCCAGTTGGGGCTGCTGCAAGTCAAATAATGCAGGTCATCGAGAGACACACCCCCTGTGAGTATCTACATGACCTGCACGCTGCCCTATGTGACGTCCTTACAACTGCCTGGTCCACGGGACGAGTTCTGCAGGATTGCGACGATGCCCTGCTGGCTTCCCCTTCTTGTAAGGGAGACCGCACTGATTGCAAAAACTACCGGGACATCTCTCTCCTCAATGTTAGGCAAGAAAAGACGGTGGCAAGGATTGTTGAACATTGTTCGCCAGGCACGCTGAGGAGAGGCTCGCAGAGCTCCAATGTGGTTTCAGGCCAGGACGGTCCTTCATGGATGCCATATTATCTGTCCATCTGCTACAACAGAGGTGTCGGCGATTTCAGCAGAACCTACAGGTCCAGGTATAGCTGTGTAGCTGAGATTTCGAAACGTCACCTGTTCACTTTGGGGTGCGACAGGGATGTCTGCTGGCTCCTACACTATTTAACATCCATTTTTGCCAAGTAATTATAGACGTTTTCTACGGCTGTACCAAAGGAATTTTCTGTACAGACGCAATGGAAGCTGATTGATACCCAGGGAAGGTACATGGATGGCCCTCTTGATCATACATACATCACACGCAAACGTATGCATCAAATGCGAGTATAAATACATCGTGCATAAATACATCACACACACATCTATGAAAACATTACAAACGTAACACATGCATGTACCAAAAAATCAAACATACATCCAACCCACACGTTGCACCACACATACACATGCACACACCGTGTGAGCGGATATGCGGCTGTATATTTGTCATTTATAAGTTCTCGCCGTGTCCGCTTGGATATTTTGCTGGGTCCTCCGGGTTTTCCATCTACATTTAGAAACATGGCTGCGATACATTTCCACACGATAAGCCACTTTGTTGAGCGATCATTTGGAGCCACGTCGCTTCTGAAAAAGAGCTATATAGCTCAGTGGGCCTTACGTCGTAAAATAAAAATAAATATCACAAACACACTATATCATACATAACGTACACCACATGTGTACACGTCATACCTCAGTTAAGTTAATTTCAGTTCGTTTATTAGGTATAGCCCTGTGAGCCATGCGGCTATTGAATCGGGTGCAACCGAAACAAACAAAAACATGAACAAGAAACATCTTAAAGTGACTACGCGCAACAGAAAAATCCAGGAAAAAACAGCAAAGTCTTCCAGAAAAAGCAAAAATCTCAGTGGGATGCAAGTCAAACAATAACAACCATAAGACAATTTAGATAAAAGGTATCAGTCTAGCTCTGTACTACAACAACAAATATGGCTAAACCAAAACGTTTTCGAAATCACCAAAATAAAGCTATAAAAGCAATGTAACAGTGATCATAGGAACTGATTCAAATTTAACAATAAACGATATCTACATAACATGCACGACCAAACTTTGCAGCCATAGCTGTACGCATGAGTCACTCCATAACAGCAGGAGTATCAGTAGGAGTATCAAAAGTTTTAAAGATCAGCACACTATAATAAAAACTCAAGATGATACTTTGCAGCAGTCATCAGGAGCGATACATTTGATTTCAGGCCATTCTGAATAACAGTGGCAGCTAGTTGTGTACAACTCCTCTAGAGCAGTTTTGAGTGATGATCTCACAGGTAGTGATCCAAGTTGCAGTTTATTGGCGATAGCGTTCCAGACCTTGGGGGCATCAACAGCAAAGGTCCTTCCTCCAGTATTTGTACGGCAATAAGTAATGTGAAGCTGGTAAATGAGCGAAGACCTTAGGCCACATTTGTTCTTCGAAACAGTGAGGCGATCCAGCAGGTAGTCTGCTGACTTTTTTGAAAGTACATCGTGAATAAATAAGAACTGATGCACAAGCCATCGATCATTAAGAGTTGTTAAGTTTGACCCATTTTAGAGATTGCAGTGGTGGGTCCTATATGGGCTTTCAATGCCTGCACAAGAGGCGTCACCACATTGTGTCAGGCTAGGTGTACTTTGAGGCAATTGCGTGAAGTGTCGAAGGCTTGCTGGCAGGAGGTCGTGGGACGCCCAGGTGCCAAGGGTTGACTCACTGAAATGACCAGTCGATGCACCGTTTGCGCTCCCCACTGCACAAACTTTGTTTATCCGCCCGGCGCTCTGCTTGTTGTTGTGAGCAACGCTCCTCCACCCTCCGTTGTTGCTGGAGGGCGATATTTGCCTCCCAACTGTTCAATAGTGTCCTTCATGAGCCTCCTCCATAGAGGCCGATCTTGACACCGTTAGTACCGGTTATCGGCAAATCCACTCAGCTGCACATTCTCCTCTACCTCATCAGCTCCAACTCTTCTCTTGCCAGTGCTGCACCCATTTAAGCCCCCTCTGTCCGGCCAAACAAAAGCTGCTTGGTCATGCGGCGGCTGGACATGCGGGCTACATAACCCAACCAACGCAGCCTCGCCTACCGGAGAAGCTCACGAATGGGACTGTGTGCAGATCTTTCACAAATCGCACACACACTTCCCACAGGAACCACAAAGACAAAAAGATACCCCGTATAGCCTGAACCAGCTGTTGCGGTAAGTGATGTTGGTAAGCATCTATGAAGGCCGGCACAGTACACGAGAGGTTGGGTAGCCAGGACTATGCTCGGTCGCCTTTGTCTCCCTCGTGGTGATGGGGTTGGGGGGGTGTAAAATAGGGTATTCATTTCTTTGGGGGGAGGGGGCAGTGGGAGTGCGATTTATTAACCCTTGCCCTCTCCTCGTCACATCCCCGATTCGATTCAAGAATCAATTATTTTTTAAATATGTTTCTCTGAAGGGTCTTTCTATCTCACACGGATATCTTCTGCAGTGTCCGTCCAGTGAGGGGGGCGCTATCTCCTGAAGAAGGCCATCTGCAGCTCGTGTATTTCTGAAGGAGCTGTCCATGCAGCGGGGGTGCTGAATTAAAACAATACGTGATATAGGTGAAGTGCTGTCATGACTGTGGTCATGATCCTATAGTTGATCACTGCGTTGGGTGACTAGTGAATGTACGTCTCTATATTGAGTGGCTTGTGAATTGCTGTGCACTGAATTGAGTGATTGAGGGACTATTGAATGGCTAGCCAAAAGCCGCTGCGAAATCTGGACTTCGTTCAAATCTTTCAAAGGTCTGTGAGCTCGTCGCACAGTCAAAAATATTAAAACCTAGAATGGATCGTAGGCAGGCCAGTCTGTTTCAAAACAATGCAGATGTTCCTCTGAAGGGGTCCATGTTTTGCAACCATAGATATATGGGAGGACATAATGGTGGCTGAGAAGACGCAGAGCTTTGTATGGCGCGATAGGCCAGCAAATTTCCACAGCAATATGCAGCCAATAAAAGGATAATGCCCATTGACTAATTCAAAGTGAGACCTTTGCAGCTAAATCGGAGCTGGCCATAGGCATTGTACACTGCCCAGGTATGGAAACACCGTACCAGGTACTTAATGTAAATTTGAGTCCACCTAGGGGAGGGCCCAGGATCGGGAAGGGAGAGAGCGGAGCGGGGAGAAATGAAGGAGAGGAAATGGTGAACGTGAGGTGAGGGGAGAGTGGGGAGGGCTGGAGGTGGAAGGGTAAGAGGTGAGTGGGGGGTGAGGTGAAGTGAGAAGTGGTGAGGGTGTGAGATGTGGGTGGGTTGAGGCGGTGGAGCTGCGTGGATACATAATTAACTCGGTTGCCATGGGCAACCCTTGACAGCTCGAGTGAGGTCGCGTCGTGAATTTTGCGCATTCATCAGCGACCCTCATTGTCCGCATCTGCCCGTTCTTCCAACCTCCTGACCCCCCACTGATCGATTCGTCACGATTAGAGGTCACGATTCAAGTCAATATTTGATTATTTCGTCTTATTTAACCGCCTCGTTTGTCTTCCGATTTGTGCTGACTCAGCACAGTTTTA